TTCAGCTTGGGACCTGTTGGCCTCTGCAGTTTGGGGACATTCTGAATGTCTGCGGTCACAGGCTAACTCCTCCCATACCAAGAGGTTGGAAAACCCAGCCATGGGACCAGGGCAGAAGGACCAGCCACACGCCGCTCACAGGCAGCAGATGCCCGGTGCTCTCCAGCACGCCAGGTGCATAATAATTTTTAACTATAATTTTGCAACTGGAGTTAGCAATCCAGAGTCAAAAGACTTACAAGAAATCCTATAAGGGAAACAAGGTAACTTCCAGAAAAAGGGAGGGATGAAAGTGACGAAAAGGGTTAACAGGACAGGTTAAGACTGAGGCTGTTGAGGAGACAGAAAAAAACTCAGCTCACAAATCATGCGAGTGAAAATGACTGAATAAGGAGGTCAGACGGTGTAAGGCATCGGGACAGTAACGAACCATTTTAGACAAAAACCGGTTTCTGGAATGGATTGCCTCTCATTTTTTTTTTTTTTTTTTCTTTTTTTTTTTTTTGCGGTATGCGGGCCTCTCGCTGTTGTGGCCTCTCCCATTGCGGAGCACAGGCTGCGGACGCGCAGGCTCAGCGGCCACGGCTCACGGGCCCAGCCGCTCCGCGGCATGTGGGATCTTCCCAGACCGGGGCACGAACCCGCGTCCCCTGCCTCGGCAGGCGGACTCTCAACCACTGTGCCACCAGGGAAGCCCTGCCTCTCATTTTTATTATATCCAAAGCAGATGGAGGTCTGGTCAAAGATAAAAAGAAGAAGGAATAAGGACTAAAGGAAAGGTTTTATGGAGAAAATTCTGAGTCTGAAAGAAACTTAGTCAAATTCATGTGCTGAAATGCCCCAAAAGGAGTGCTTCTGAGAAACGAAACACTAACATAAGTGAGAGCAGAAATTGGGCATTCTGGAGTATCTTAGAGTAAGAGAGGAAGGTTGAAAGGAATAAAAAGAAGAAAATCAGGGACTTCCTTGGCGGTCCAGTGGTTAAGATTTCACCTTCCAGTGCAGGGGGTGCAGGTTCCATCCGTGGACAGGGAGCTAAGATCCCACATGCCTCACAACCCGAAAACCAAAACTTAAAACAGAAGCAATATTGTAATAAATTCAATAAAGACTTTAAAAGAAAGAAAGAAAGAAAGAAAGAAAATCAAATCCAGTTCCGAGAGGAGAAAGGCCATCCTCAGGGAGGATCAGAGGAAAAGCTTTCGTCCTGAGGTCTGAGCCGTGAATCGTGGCTCGGACGAGCTGATTCCCGGTACACGTCGCACTATGCTGGCCTGAACCATGTTTGCTGCCTATTTTTTTTTAAACTCACAAAAGTCAAAGTATCATGTAGCTTTTCCTACCCGCCTGAGGCTCCAGTTAATGAAAGAAAAGGATGAATCAGATGTAAGAATATAGCTTTGAAGAAAAAGCCCGGATCATTCAACGACATGATCAGCCTAACAATCCCTGCGATGTTTGTCTGACAGAGAAATGACTATTTTTGGACTTCAGGTAGCAGAAATGTATCATGAGCACATTCGTAGCTATATGTGGCGTAGGGCCACTTAGAGAATCAGAAACTTCAAGGCTTGGATGCAGCCTGGTTCTTAAGTGTGTTCTTGTAGTAACAGTTTGTTTCAGAAGGAGTAATCGTGAGGTTTTTTTTCTTTTGAGAAATTTAATAGAACAGTAGCAGTAGTAGCTAAAGCTTCAATGGTTGCTTCCTAGTGTCAGGCACTGTTTGAAGCCCTCTCCACATGGTAACTCCTGTAACCCTTATAGCAGTCCTGTTAGGTGCTGTTATGGTTCCATTTTGCAGATAAGGAAACTGAGGCACGGGAAGGATAAATGGCTTATCCGAGGTCACACAGCCAGAAAGAGCAGAGCCTGGGTTCTAAGGTATCCCTCCCACACTTGGCAATCGTTCACAGTTTTCCTTATAATCTATAAAAGAAATACACCACCACACAGAAAGCTGCAGTGCCAGTTATATCACCTTCCCCTTTTCCGTGAGTGTGAGGTGCATCCTTCAGTTCCTTTTAAAACACTTTTACATGTATGTCTTATATCTACGGACGTTACGTAGTGTTATTTTTCATGTTGCAAATATTTATATAAGTAGCAATATACTCTATTTCCTTTGGATTGCGATCTGTCCAGGTTGATATGTGTCCATCTCCCTGCCTGCAGCACCCAGGTCGGGGCGCTGGCCACGTTTGGCTCCTGAACAATTGAAACGTGGCAATTCCAGCTGAGATGTGCTATGCGTGTAAAATACAGAGTAGATTTCAAAGACAGTATAAAAAGCAGTAAAGTACCTCTTTAATCATTTTTAGTATTGATTACATGTGGAAACGGTAATATTTTGGACACATGAGTTAAGTAAAATATGTTACTGAAATTAATTCCACCTGTTTCTTTTGATTTTTTTTTTTGTGTGTGTGTGGCTACTAGAAAACTGAAAACGACCCAAGTGGCTTTGCTTCTATTTCTGTTGGAGGGCATTGATCCAGCTCGTTCCTCTTAAGTGCCCTAAGTCTGGGTTTTGTCAATTGGTGAAGGAGAAAGCCCTAAGTCTGAAAAGTAAGAAGTGATTGTTACTGTTCCTGGGGACTTTTCAAGGTGATTTATGTGTAATAACCTGTTCAGTCTTCCTGGGAGGTTGTATGCCTGCATGAAGGAGGTTGTGCAGAGTCCAGAGTCACACAGCTTCAAACAGGCTGAGTGGGGCGTGGCCTGGCCACCAGCTGGTCTGCAGGGGCCCATGAGAAGCAGAGAGAGCCATGAACTCAACGAGCAGAGAGCTTTACTCAGGGACATCAACACCACACAGTCCTTATGTGTCAGTGGGGCTTCTATTTTTTTTTTTTTTTAACTTTTAACAGAGCAGTTCTTAGAAGACCCACATCTGTGGTAATTTCAGCCTTATTGAAACCAGCACAGGCAGTATTTTTCTGACATCCAACATTTTTCTTGCCAATGTTATGAGGTCAGCTTTACCCTTTACCACTAATTATATTAACTATTTTTAGGGCAAACTGTCAATGCCCCCCACTCATCCCTGCTTCCTACATTTTCAATTTATTTTCTTTAGCCATATCTATTTATATCTGAAGTGTTTTTTTTTTTTTTTAAAGAGATGTCCTCATTATTCTGCCAACGATAAAGTCGGGGCTTGTAATGAAGTTATAAACACGCTGGGAGGGAAAGATGACATGTGATTTCAATGGGGAGATTGTGGATGAACTTTGGATTCTTTTTCTGATTCTGAATAAAAACCTCACTTTAACATTTTGAATCATACAGTCACAGAACTGGTAGGGACCTGAGGTGTCCTCTGTGTTGGTTAAGACCATGGGCTTTGTATCAGGCAGCTGTGTGACCCTGGGGCCAGAATCTACCATCTATAAAATGGAGATACTAACATCTACCTTCTAGAGCTTTTTTGTGGATTAAATGAGATGACTGCGCTCTGTTCCTTGTACCTACTTTTGATCCACAGTAGTTGTGGTAATTACTGTTATTATACGGTCATTATCTCCCCAGATGACTCCAAGGGGGTGCAGTCTCTTCAAGCCCATCTAGTCCTGTCCCAGCAAGACCTTCCTCCTTGTTCTCCACCAGGACCCCTGAACTTTCCCCCTGGGGGAGAGGCCCATGGTTAGCAGGCCACACCCTCCCCGTGCTCGCCCTGTGGGGTGCTCTGGGCAGTTTTTACAAGAAAGCTGTGCTGAGGCCCGCTACCAAAGCGCCCCTCAGCACACCCTCCGACCTCCCCACTTCCTTCAACACTCTTCCTCCCCTAGGACCTGCCTCCACAGACGCCTCCAGATGCATCTGAAAACATCACTGTTGAGGCTTTCCTTGGGACCAGCCACCTTGCTCTTAAGTGGTCTTGCCAATGACCGTGGACCCCTTGCCTCTCCAAAGCCGCTGAGGAAGGGCAGGGCTTTCCTAGCCAAGCTTAGGATGCATGTCCCCATTGCCCAGAAATGTATCACACAGCCCCACATCATGGCTCGGGAGGACTCATTTGGGGCACCGTAACCACAAACCCAGGAGAAGTCCCCACTTTGGCCTAAGATAGCAGGGAGTGAGAGCTCATGCCAAGGACACCTTCAGAGATCAGCCATGTGTCTGAAGTTGGAAAGTGGTTGAGGCTCTGCCATGACCCTGAACTCAAGAAGATTTTAGAGGAGGGCACGCTGAGACCCAGGGGCTTAAGGAGTTGGCCCACAGGCACGGAGAATACCTGACGTTGACTTCCCCCTCGGATACGATGTTTCTTCCTGGCACTAATACCCTTCGGCAATCCCCGCTCGTGTTGAAGTTGAGACAGCCTCCCACCCCCTCCCCCACAGTTAGCACAGCGTGTGTCATCCAGAAGATGATAAGTGATAATATAATTATGATAATAATTAAGTGTTCAGTTATTGGGCCCTCGCAATTTCTTTGTTTCTGCGTCCTTAGGGCGGGCTCAGGGCCTCTACCCTGGAGGCTTCTGCGCAGGTGGGAACCCTGGGCCCTTCCGCTCGGATTCTTCACGCTCGCGGGCCTAGGGTCTGACACCTGCAGGTGCCCGGCAGGTGCTGTCCCCTCTTCGCGAGGCCTTATTTATCTCAAGTCTTCTTGTACTGGTTGCTTTTGGACCCTCTTTGTAACGTGAATAGAAATAAGATGTTATTCCTGAAGTACACCTATTTCTGACTATTGAAAAATTTAGCTGTCTCAGGCACAGCCAAATCCAGGCCAACCCGGACCCTCCAGCCGCCTGTTGCCTGGTAACGACCGCCCTGGCCCCGCCCCTCGCCCTGGCCCCGCCCCACGCCCTGGTCCCCGCCCCGCGCCCTGGTCCCCGCCCCGCGCCCTGGTCCCCGCCCCGCGCCCTGGCGCGCGATCTCACAGCCTCCCTCCAGGTCCCGCCCCCGCGGCGCACAGTGGTGACGTGTAGAGTCCGAGACATTTCCGGCGCGCTTGGCCGCCGGCCCCGTTAACCGGCTGCGTGGGGCACGGCCGCCATGGCCTCTGTGGGGGTGTCTGTCGGCCGGCAGGCCGAGGATGCGCTGCAGCCGCCCGCAGAGCCGCCGCCGCCCGAGACGAAGCCGCTGCCGCCTCCGCAGCCGCCGCCGCCGGTCTCCGCGCCGCAGCCGCAACCGCCGCCGAGGCCTCCGTCCCCGGCCGGCGTGAAGGCGGAGAACTGCTCCTTCCTCCCACTGGTTCACAGCGTCATCAAATGGTAAGGCCCGGGCGGGCCCAGCCCGCAAGCGCCCCGCTGCCAGTCACGTTTCCGAGCTCCGGGGGCGCCCCGCGGCACAAAGGAGGAGGCCGGCCGGAGGGGAGCGGCCTCGCCGAGACCACCCCCCTGTCGTCCCAAGAGTTCTGCAGACTCTGGCCCTGGGAGTTGCCAGGCCCCGTGCTGGCAGGTCCCGCTACGGTCAGACCACTCGTGTGCAGCCTGGTGGCCTGAAGCCAGTCAGGCTTCTCTAAGCCTGTTTTCTCACCTGTAATTAGGGGTATAGTACTCACTTCGGCGTCTTTCCCAACAAATCCAACAGATGTGTATCGTATTCCGTGTGTGGCACACTGCTAAGTGCTGTGGGGTGTACAGGTGAAAGGGCAGACTTTTCACCCCCACGTTGGTAACCAGTTAGAAGGGAAGACATCGTGAGAGAGAATAACCCATAATGCAAAGAGATGATAGGGGTGATGATGGGAACATTACAGGAAATGGGTGCTGGCCGTCTGCCAGCGCTTTCGGTGCCCTAACATGGTGTCACGGGGTGATTGTCTCCTTTTGGCCAGTCTTCAGGTTACCTAACTTCAAACTGACCCTTAGAAGAAACACACACACACACACACACACACACACAATCTTCCCAATCCCCACATTTGCCCAAATTTTTTTTTTACGGTTATTTATTATAACAAAGTGTAAACCCCTGGGCTTAAAATTTTTATTCAGCCATTAAAAACCAAAACAAAGTAAATTACAACAAAGTTACTTTTACAGTAACATTCAAGTGAACATCAGTTGTGCTCCTGGATGTTTTGCTGAAATGGAATTGCTACTCGCAACATGAAAATATTGAAAATATTGTTACTGGCCCAGCTGTTTTTTTTTTTTTTTTTTGGGTTTTTTTTTTGCGGCACGTGGGCCTCTCACTGGTGTGGCCTCTTCCGTTGCGGAGCACAGGCTCTGGACGCGCAGGCTCAGCGGCTATGGCTCATGGGCCTAGCCGCTCCGCAGCATGTGGGATCTTCCCAGCGGTACGCGGGCTTCTCACTGTTGTGGCCTCTCCCGTTGTGGAGCACAGGCCCAGCGGCCTTGGCTCACGGGCCCAGGCGCTTCGCGGCATGTGGGATCTTCCCGGACCGGGGGACGAACCCGCGTCCCCTGCATCGACAGGCGGACTCTCAACCACTGCGCCACCAGGGAAGCCCCCAGCTGGGTTTTTTTTTTTGTTTTTTGGTTGGGTTGGGTCTTCGTTGCTGCACGCGGGCTTTCTCTAGTTGCCATGAGCGGGGGCCACTCTTCGTTGCGGTGCGTAGGCTTCTTATTGTGGTGGCTTCTCGTTGCAGAGCACGGGCTTCTAGGCACGCAGGCTTCAGTAGTTGTGGCACGCGGGCTCAGTAGTTGTGGTGCATGGGCCTAGTTGCTCCGCGGCATGTGGGATCTTCCTGGACCAGGGATTGAACCCGTGTTCCCTGCATTGGCAGGCGGATTATTAACCACTGCGCCACCAGGGAAGTCCCGCCACCGCTTTTCAAACAGCTGCAAAGCGTTTGTTCTCACAGTAGACCTTGAGTTCATCTGGCTTCACTTGGTGCGAACATACTGTTTATCGAGTAAGGCAGACTGTTCTGTCCTCATGAGCCTGTGATCATCAAGTAGCACTTCTAGGCTGCAGTGACATAGCAAACACAAACGCAAATGCAGACCCTGCAATCCCAGGGCAGTGCTTGATTATAAAAGCATTATCCAGATCAGCCCAAATATACGTATTCTGGTTTTAGGGAAAATATGGAAAAATGAAAATACATGGTGTATATTCTTGCACGCTAATAGAGCAGTTGGCTTGGGCTGGACTCGAAGATTGAGAAGTAACGTACACGAGAGAGAACATGGGCTTTGAAGTCAGATAGCCTTGAATTCGGGTCTGCATGCTGATGCTTGCTTGCCTTGTAATCTCAGTAAATACGTAGCCTTTCTAGGCTTTAATTTTTTTATCTCTAATATGTGAATAATAATAATAATGAACTTCAAATGGTGGGTTCAAATGATAGCTTTATGATGTACTGACCTTGGTGAAACAGCTGCTCTGAGCCTCTTTTTCTCTTGTGAACTGGGACTAGTAATACTTAAGTCATAAGGTTGTCGTGAGGCGTCTCAAGAGCATCCTCCTGTGAAAGGTGGCGGGTTGGCCACATGTGTTTGTCTCTGTTCCCTCTGAAAGCACAGTGAAGAGTGGTTTTAAAGCATAAAACCGAAAAGGACAGGAGAGGAGATGATTGCCACAAAGCGATGGCCAAGGGCCAGTCCACGTCCCAGTGCCAGGAACAGCCCAGAGCAGCTGCCTTTGGCCGTGGCCCCCTCCAAATCCCAGGAGATGGCACTGTCAGGGACCCCTGGTGAAGGGGGACTTAGAGCAGGAGGATTACCTGAAAGGCCATTTGGACACAGACCCCCTCAGTCCACTCCCCGATGCAAGCACACGGTGACGACCCTTCCACCTCAGCAGACAAGTAAAGGCGCACACTTTCCCAAGATTGTTTTTAGGAAAGAGTCAGCTGGAGAGTGTCTGGACTGGGGGACACCAGGCGTACTGCAGGACCTGAGGGAAGGGAGCCGTCCTGAGGAGAGGGCTGAGGGCAAGTCCACAGACTGGGTGTTGAGACCCAGCCCCCGCCTTCACCACCCCACACCCCCAGCTTCTAGACTGGCAGCCAAAGAAAACAGACTCTCCCGGATGTCCGATCCGGACACCCCAGAGACATTGAACTTAGTTCATTGTAAGAAAGTAGAACATCACTCATACTCAAGAGTTTCCACTCAGCCTTTTAGCGTTTCACTGTTTTGTTTTTTAATATTCTTCAGTGTTTATTTATACCCCATTTTTTACTAAGGGAAAATAAAACAGTTGTATCTTCTATTGCCATCAGCTTCCCCCTCCCCATCTGATCCAAACTGTAATAATCAGCAGTTTCCTTATTGTAAGGTTACATCTTTTTCTTCCTTCACTCAGCCTGGTGGAAGCAGTGTATTATACATGTAACCCAGATGGTGTTTACTCTTCAATATGTTGTTGGACAGCCAAAGCCACTAAGTATGAGAAGAAAACCCCGAGTAAAAAGGACGGGACTGAGCAGAAGAGTGGAAATCCAATGCGCACAGAGAGAAGGGAGGTGCGGTGAGCCTGAGGAAAGGCTGGGATCTGATTTTAAACACTGGGTCTCGGCATTTGTTTGAGCTGCTAGGCTACTGAGGGTCAGGGCAGTGAGGGGGAGGAGGCCTCGTGGAGCCTGGAAGGGTCAGAAGGCTTGTTGGGGGAGATGCCAGCAGCATGTCTAGAAGTATGAAAGGGAGGGGAGGTAGGTGGAGTAGGACAGGCTGCCGAGAAACATCCCTGACCCGTGGGGGGTCCGCGGTCGGTTTGGTGGAGCTGGAGCACAAATCCAAGGTAGAGAGGGAGTCGTGGTTGTCAGGCTGGTCTCACTTAGTGGAATTACCCGTCACCACGGGTACTTAAACCTTTGCAGGTCCCCCCGGGCGTGTTGGACGTGGCAGAGGCGGGTTGGGGGGCCTCACGCTGGGTCGGCCTTCACCTTCACTTGGGGCGCGAGGCTGGAGCTGGCCCAGGGGTCATCGAGGCCGGTCAGCAGGACCCCAAGCCCGCAGGGCCTCTTCCCACACACATGCCGGTTCCAGTCTGCCCGGCAATCCGCCAGCCGCGGCCTGGCCTTGGGTCCTGATGGCCAGGAGGTGACCCCACGACTCGCCTGCAGCAGCTCTGCCCTTCCCTGTCTTCTTTGCCGAATGCGAGTGAAAAGGCCAGGTGCCCAGATAAGGATTGTTGGTCGGCTGTTTGGAGGGGTTCTGTCCTGGCAGGAGAGCACGGAGCCCAGGAGGTCAGAGGCTGTTTGTGGGTGGTCCTGAGGTTGTGCGTACGCGCACGCGCGCGCACGAGTGTGAACTTGCCTGGGAGCCGAGGAGCCATCTGAAGTTTTTGAGCTCAGGCCTGGGTTTTGTAAAGCTCGATGGGACAGAGGGTTTTGGGAGGGGGAAAGGACTGGGTCCACAGGAATAGTGGGAGGAGGTGCAGGGGTGCCCTGAGGGGGGTGGCAGGTGGAGTGGCTGTGCTGGCGGGGGGCGGTGGGGCACACGGCACACAGTAGGTGTGGGATGTCATCGCCATTTGGATTGCAGGCGATCAGTTGCAAACATGCGCATACCTATCAACAGCCAAGTAATCTAGCCGTATAATCGTGTACATCTTAACATGGACAGACATCCAAGGTGCATTTTACATGAAGAAAGCAAGAATCAGAACCATGTGTGTAGTGTGGCCACAATTTTGTCAAAAGAAACAAAAGTGTGTGTGTGTTTGTGTGCTGCTATCTTGAAGCAATGTTAAACAATATGCACCACGTGTTAACAGAGCTTACCTGGGACAAGGGATTAGAGGGACTTCCCTTTTGTAAGCCTTGGTTGTCTGTCATTAAACATTTTTTTCCCTCAAGCCCTGTAACTGTCATAACTTAAAGGCCCTACTATTTTAGAAAGATGCCAGCCACTGACATTAGTGTGGGGAGAAGGCTGGTCCCAGGGCCGGTCGGCGAGGAGGACATTGGGGGTGTGGGGACATGGGGCCGAGGGGGTCGGAGGTTTTGAGGAGGAAGAGATAGTTTCCCATTTCTTTCCCGAGTCGGGTGCCACCAAGAGGTCAAAGAAATGCCTCTCGGATTTGGGAGGACGTGACTTCAGTGACCTGGTGGTTCCTTCTGCTTCTGAGTCACCAGTGGACACACCTGCCCAGCTGACGCCAGTTTGCACCTGCAAGTGAAGCATCGTTCTTAGGCTTACGCGCTAGACCTGTGCGGTGTGCCCGAGCCCGTGTCTCCCACCGGGCGCCGCCACGCCTCCCCCGGGCCTGCCCAGAGGACCGGCAGGAAGTGGCCCGTCACTCGAGCCGTGCGGTGGTGTCCTGAGCGCCCTCACCTTGCCCTGGTTTGTGGATTTTGTGCTTCTCCACCCAGCCTGGTCTCCTTTGTTTCCTTCTGAGTCAGGTGCCGACCAGCACTGGCCACAGAGGCGGGCCCCCTGGAGCTCCCGCTTGCGCTCTGGTACCCAGGCCATCTCTTCTCTCAGCTGGAGTCAGGGTCCCGCTGCCTCCCCCTCGGGCAGCCTGAGAAGCTTGCGCAGCCACCCCCCAGCTCAGCTTCCCTCTGGGTGGGCTTTGTACATGGCTCCTAATTTCCTCCCCTCCCTTTTTTTTTTTTTTTTCTGTGCCAAGGTGAAAAACAATATATCATAAATTTTATGTTTTTCCTACATGTTGGAGTCCTTCCCATTGGTATAGTTTTCATTCTTCCCTTTTTTTTTTTTTTGCATTTTTTTTGTTGAAGTCTAGTTGATTTACAATGTTGTGTTGATTTCTGCTGTACAGCAGAATGATTCAGTTACACATATATGTACATTTTTTTATATTTTCCATTATAGTTTATCATAGGATATTGAATATAGTTCTCTGTATTATACAGTAGGACCTTGTTATTTACCTAATTTTTATTTTATATATTTTTGTTTGTTTTTACCTTGTCCTTTGAGACTTGTGTGATGTAAATCAGTTTTCTTAAAACTATATTTTAATTTCAAAACTCCCTTGGGACTTAAATTCGTAACGATGTGTTAGCACATATGCCATCCAAGTGGAATGATTTCAGAAGCCCAAGTGGTGTCTGTCCAGGGTTGTAGATCTGAGCTGAGACATAAAAGAATTGGAATATAAGGTGCTCCCTCAAAGCTGGGGTAAGGTGCACCACTGATGGTGTGTGCAAATTGAGGGCCTCAAATGACAAGAGGAAATGTTTGGTTGGCCATTCATTCCCTAGAATAAACTATTGATTCTCCAAATCTTGCTTCCAAGTTCAAGCTATTGATAAATAGTGAGCAGGCCTGGTGCATCTCATTTGTCAGGAATGAGCTGTAACCGGCGGATCACCAGGAAAGATGGATATTCTGTCTGCGTAAGCAGAGAAATGATTAATAATAAACATGAACTGGCACCATCTGGGTTGAAATTTCCCATCAGGGATGAACGTTTATTAAAAAAAATAAACGATCATTGACAGTTTTCCCCTCTCACGCTACTCAGTGGGTGACTTTGAAAACAGCCTGTGAATCAGCTTTTAGATTTTAGTCTCAACTGCCTTGTTTTCAAAAGCTCATCCATCCATCTACTAACTTTCAAAAAATTTATAGGAGCAACTGACAGGCCGTTTCTTTGATCGTAGGTGAAGGTTTTTGTTCTTGTTGTTTGCTTTTAATTTAGTCATGACGGGGAGCGTGGGTCTCTGGGCAGCTAATGATAGCTGTGAGGTGAAGAGTACGATGCCGCCTTTAAAATGAGCGCGAGCGGGAGGCGGGGAATTGACACGAGTGTGGTGGGGGAGGATTTTCCCATAGCTGGTAACTAGTTTAAAATTTATGAACAGCTCTGTGGAAATTGGGGTGTATGTTAACAGGTTCAAGCATCTGAACATCAGCTAAAATTATCTTTTGCTCGTTGATAGTCTCCTGATTGGCCTGGAGTGTCTCAAATTGGAAAGGTGGTATTTCAGCAAGTGTTACCTGCTGTTTGTTACGTGACATTGGTAAGAGTTTCTCATTCACTCAGCAGACACTTAGGAACTTATCTGCCAGGCGTCCACTCTTTCAGCAGATGTTGCCTCAGTGTGTGCAGCGCCCATGGCCCGGGCTGGGGAAGCAGCTCTGCGGGAGGGCCCAGCGTCCGGCGGGCCCCTGCTGGGGGCCGGGGTGCCGGCTGCACAGGCAAGAACCCGCCCCGTCCCCCGGGGCGCGCAGCCCAGCCCAGCCGGGGACACAGGCGACAGGCGTTCTGACGTGGGGATGCGAGGATGGAGCTGTCTGGGCTGATGGTGCTAACACCTGCCCTCTGCCTCCGCAGCATGGACAAGGACAGCCCTGATGTCCAGCAGGACCTGAATGCCCTCAGGACCAAGTTCCAGGAGATGCGCAAAGTGGTCGGCGCCATGCCTGGCATCCACCTGAGCCCCGAGCGGCAGCAGCAGCAGCTGCACCGCCTCCGCGAGCAGGTCCGGACCAAGAACGAGCTCCTGCAGAAGTACAAGAGCCTGTGCATGTTCGAGATCCCCAAGGAGTAGATGAGCTGGCCTCCGGGACGAGGCGGGCACGGGCCTCCTGTCTTCCAGCCCTGTGGAGGGGGTCTCTGGTACTGCCTGCTTAGCTGAACGTGGCCCTGGCTGCGGAGCGGTGTGCGTGCTGGCTTCCCTGTGCGTCCTTGTGTACTGTCCCCACGGTCCAGATGCATAATGACTGTGTGCCTGCTGCCGGAAGGAGGAGGGCTCCTGAGGCCGGAGGGGCGGGGCCGCGGCCCGGCCTTCAGGCTGGGCTGGCAGATTCCGGGGCAAAGCAGGAAGGGAGGCGGCTGCCCTCTGCCCCTCCCCTCTGCTCCCGGCCCAGGTGGTGGGTATCCAGGTAGCCAGTGTTGAGTGAGCAGCAGGGTGCGTGGAGTCCACTGGACAGTTAGGCCTCCACTCACAAGGCGAGGGTTTAGGATAGAAAAAGGCCTTGGGAGAACGGCACTGTTCCTAAAGACTTGAGAGTGGCTTTTTGCTCTGGAATATTTGTTTCCTTCTGTGTTTGAGGGGTGGGTGTCACTGTCCGTGGGCTGCCCACCCAGAGCCCTGCCGGCAGCCCCGCCTCCAGGTTTCCGCGTCCCACATGTGGGTGGGTGGCAGAGACTCTTGCTCCTCTGTCCCTTGTCACCTTCAGGCAGCTCGTTTAGCCGTTTCATGCCCAAGAATGGCCAGACAGCCTCAGGCCACGTGGTCTCCAGGTGAACAGACCCCTCTTTCAGCTTCTCAGAGTCCTGTTCCTGGTTTAGCCACGACTTCCCCTCAGGCCTGCTCACTGCGTGCAAACAGGCGGTCATGATGTGCTCTCCGCTCAGAGCCACGGTTCTGATGGCCCTCGGGGTGGGGAGAATTACACCTGGCAGTCACGCGGCCAAGGCCTGGTTCATAGATGCTTATAAACACCTCTGTTTCACCTAGACAGACGTTGTGTCAGTGTGACCAGACTGAGGTAAGAGCGTCTCTTTCCTTCGCCTCTGAAGGATGCGGGACAGGTGGCTGAATATCATTTAGATCCAGAAACGGGCTCATAACCTGTGCTGACCGAGTCGGGGGCTTAACAGCTGCCTGCCACTTGGCAGGCATGTAGGTTGAAGATGTGTTGAGCAGGGGTTCTGTCCATGTCAGGCGTGTGGCGGGGTGTCAGGTTTCAGCGGCCTTGGCCAGAGGCGCAGGCTCTGAATCTCAGTGGGTGTCACCTGTTAGTCCAGCTCTACCATGGGGCTGTTATCAACTGCATCAGTTATTTTCTTGACGTTTCAGAGTAGTGTGTGGGCCGGTTTTAAGGCTCCTACCAAATACTGTGGGACACGGAGCTCAGAAACACCAGGCGGCCGGGCTCTCCCGGAAGGCTGCGGCGGACACGGGCTCCTCATGGGCCTTTCCTGTGCTCCAGAGTTGTGACTTGTGACACTTTTCAAGCGTGTGATTAAAAGAACTTGTGCTCTGCTGTCAGGACGCCTTGGGTTTGTACTGAGAAATTCACAGTAGGACATCCCCTTTGGATAGTTGAGAGGAAAACCTCTGCTTTGCTCAGAGGAGACAGAAGGAACTGTAGGCACCTCCACTCTGTGCCCCCGCGCCAGCCCCCAGCACACACGGCCACATCAGCTAGACCAATGTGAACATGGGCTGACCCTCCTGGGAGTGGCATCCATCCCCAGGGTGCAGCTGGCCCGGGGGCCCCCGGGGCTGCCATTCCTCTCAGAGGTGGGTTGGGCCCTGGTGGGGGGCAGTCCCCCAGAACGGTTGAAAGCCCTCCCCAGGACAGCACTGATGCCTCACTTGGATGCCTGTTGGCGGGCACCATGTAAGACGTCGCCCGTGGCCCTCACAGCAACCCCAAGCAGAGGCATCTGCTCTCTGTATTTCACAGGCGGAGAATTTGGGGCTTGCCAGGCGTCACTTGCCCCAGGTGTGCACAGTTACAAGTGGCGGAGAGAGCTGGGTCCCGAGTTGGGACTGGGTGCCCTCAACTGCTGAGAGGGGGTGCTGGACCCCACGTGGGTGGCGAGCGCTTCTTGGAGCCGGAGGGGCCGGGGCTGCTGATTGTGACTGGATCCAGGTGGCTAAGTGGCAGAGCCTGAAGCCGACTCAGGATGAGGGTCCTGCACAGAAGAGGGCCTGAGGGACCCCTTGAACTGTCTGCGGGTTCCAGGTTTGGTGACGCTTTGTTGCCCTGGGCCTGTGCTGAGTATAGGACGGCGCTGGCCGGTCCCGGAGGCCCTTGGGGCTGGGCCAGTGGGCAAACTAGGCAGGTAAACAGCTGGAAAGATGCATCTCTAGAAAGGACCCTGAAGTCCTTTATTTTTGTCCTGGCATTCTAAGGAGTGGCTCCCCAAACGGAAAGGCATCCAGTCATCTGGAGCCTTTTTGGAGCCTTTTCTCCCAGGAGGGCTGAAGCTATTTTCAGAAAGCCAGGATTATTTTCCAGCTCTGGGGAAGGGGAGTCTAATTCCACAGAAGTAGAAACCTGCCTCTCCCTTCTCACCCTTCCCCCTTCCACCTGTTTCTAAAAGCAGAGGAAGCAAGGTTTTCCATTTTAAGTTATTTTATTTTATATTAAAAAACCAGTAACAAGACTAAGTTCAAAGACACACACAGTACAAACACCTAGGTAAGATTTTGTTCACGTCAAATGGTGACACCAGAACTACTATAAAGTGCAAGTTTTATGTTTTGCTTTGTGCAGTTGCACACACATGTAAACAAGTCACTCCCTAGATCGGACCCCGCCCTCAGTTTCAGGCCAGCTGTCATGGCAACCCCCAATCACAGATAATACCCCGTTTTGTCCTGGCCCTCCAGCTGGCAGGACCCATTTCTGAAAGCCCAATGGTGGCTGATTAACTCCCATTCCCACCCCCATTCTTAGGTCTTTGTGAGAAACAAGGCAAATTCAACCTCTGCTGGGCGCGTGGGGCTAGCGGGCGCCAACGGGGGATCGGACGTGAGGGGAGCCCGGGCTCAGCTAGCTCTCTTTCCTTCCGGAGCAGATAATGGTCCCTTCTCGGTTTCTTTTGAGTCTCCCCAGTGAACAGGCTGGAGTGCTGGGAAGGAAGACGTCTGTCTGCGCGCGCGGCTCGGGACGCACGACCCGGACACTTGACTCTTGGACAAGAGGGTCTCCTGAGGCTCTGCGTCCGCGCGGGGCGGGAGTTCCTAGCTGATAACGCAGCGTTCCTTGTCCTTGGTCTGGCCGCCGCCGCTGGCCTTCTCGCGGATGTACATGAGATCGCTGTGCACGCTCGGCCTGCGCGCCCAGGGCGCCAAGATGCCGAAGGCGTCGTCCTGGTCGCCGCCCGCTCGCCGCAGCCTCTTGCCTCGCAGCGCCTTCTTGTGCAGCGACTCGCAGTGCTGCGCCGATACCCGGCGGTGCAGGTCCGGGCTCATCTCGCGCGGCAGGTTGGCCATGGCGAAGAGCGCGTGGAACATCTGGTCCAGGCGGCTGTTCCTCTTGGCCGAGATCTCGAAGTAGGCGCAGCGCTGGGGGTCGGCGCCCACCAGCTGCTCGATCTCGCGCTGCTCCACCTCCCGGTAAAAGTCCCGGTCCCCTTTGTTGCCACAGATGACCAGGGGCACGTCCACGTTCTCCTTGGTTTTGTTCTTGAGGCAAGACTTGGTGTCGAGGATCTGCCGCTTGAGCCTCTGCACCTCCTCGAAGGAGTCGCGGTTGTCCAGGCTGAACACGAGGATGAACACGTCTCCTACGGGGAGCAGAAAAGGAGAGGGTGAGGGCAGCCGCCAGGGGACAACTTAAGTGGGCTGACTTTGGGGCCTCCCGACGCCGGGGCTCCGGCCGCCGCGAGGATCGCGCCGAACTCTCCGCGGCCGCGCCTCCAGCCCAGGCGCCCGGGCGTCCGGGGACGAGGGGTCCCCGGCACTGCGGCGGCGCGCTCCCTCCCCTGCCCGCTGCCCGACCGCCCCGGCTCACCAGTGAGGATGGAGAGGCGCCGCATGGCGGGGAAGGGGTGGTTGCCGGACGTGTCGAGGATGTCGAGCTGGTAGATCTCGCCGCGGATGCAGTAAAACTTGCGGTGGAAGTCCTCGATGGTGGGCGTGTAGGCGTCCTCGAAGCGGCCAGTGAGGAAGCGCGACACGATGGCCGTCTTGCCCACCTTGGACGAGCCAAGGACCACCATGCGGTAGCAGTTCTTGGCCGGGATACTCAGTTCCGAGTCGCTCTGGCACATCTTTTTGATCATCGCGGCCAATTTCATTGAGCAGAGGGACCGCGGGGGCGGGCGCGGGGCCGCGAGACGAGCCGACTGTGGCTGGGGGAACGGGGCAGAGCGGCGGGGCCGGCAGAGCGTCTGGGCGGCGCGACTCGAGCTCGGGCTGCGGCTGCGCCTGGGCTGTAGCTCTCGGACGAAACCTCTGCCTCTCAGCGCCCAGCGACTGCCCTTATATGCAGCCCGCGTGGCCGCCCCGCCCCGCGCCCGCCCAGCCTCTGCGCGTCACGGTGCGCACGCCCGCGGGCCCCGCCGCGCGCTCCCTCCACCTCCGCGGGCCGCTGCCCGTTCCCGCCCGCGGGGCTCGGGAAGGAAACGGTCCAGGGTCTGCCTGCGGCTACGGGCGCGTGGACCCTGCGCTTCTCCGCTGCGCGGGGCTCAGCAGCCCTAAGGGCGTCGGGGACACAGTCCCGGCTGTGCCTCTGACCTGGGGCAAGGACCCCCCCCACTCCCCTGCCACCGCAGGACTCACACGCGCACACACTCACTTTCTTTGGGACGCAGTTTCCCCAGAGAATAACGACACTGGGCAGCGTGATGGCATGTGCTTGCCTGGTGCTAGGCACCGCGTCCGGGCTCTGCACGTCTTCTCACCAGCTCTGCGAACTGGCCCAGCGTAGGCCCCTTCGCGTCCCAGGCGGGTTTTGCTCCCGGGGGGCCGTGCTAACGCGAGGTGGGCGCCGCGCGCTCCGGCCGCCAGAGTGCAGCAGAGGCCCCGCCGCCAGAACGGGGAGCCGTGAGCGCCACGCTCAGGGCTGGAGTCCTCGCAGCCAGAACGTCCCGACCCCGCGTTCTACTGTAGGCTCAGCTCCTTTCTCCCAACCGAAGACCCGCTGGATCCTGGCAGGGGTTTTCAGCCAGAGGCTGTCCTGTCATCTTCCTGTCGGAGACTGGATGGACCAGAGGTTTGCCCTTAGTCAGTCTGAGGCCAATGTCCCCTCCCTTCCCCATAGCATTTTGTGCCTCTGGAGTCCTGTGGGCCAGCATTCCCATTTTGATAGTTGGGGGAGCTGGTCTCGAAGCCAGAGTGAGCCTGAATGCTGTGTGGGCATCACAGCAGTCTCCGGCCTTCTCTGGACCTCGGGTTCCTCTTCTGGAAGATGGCGGTCTGGCTCTGACTGGCTGAGAACTTGCGAACAGTGTAGGGGCAGGACCTAGTAATAACAACAATAGTAAATGACCCACGAGGCTGCAGGACAAACCGGGGGGGTGGGGTGGGGGCAGCAGGTAGATCAGTAACCAGGAGTGGGCTGCTGCAGAAAGGCTGGGGAAGAGGCTGCCGGAGCTGGCGAGCTCCGGCCTGGAGCTCATGGAAAAGCCATCGCTCCCCGTGGTGTGACAGGCGAGGCTCTCTGATTTGGGAGAAAGCCAGGGCTGTTAGCTGTTGCCACCCACCCATCCACGCAAGTCAGAGCTGTGGGCAATGCTGGGGTGCCAGCCCGCACCCCTAGTTGTTTACACAGGGCCTCTGGACTCTCATGGGCTTCTCGGCCAGCCCTCTATGACAAGGATTCCAGCAGAATCTCACACCCTCTGCAGGGGGGCCAGGAGAGTGTTTATTCCATGTATTCCATGCCAGGCATTGTTCTTAAGTTCTTCCTCGTGGCACCCGTGAGGGGTGGGAACTGTTACTCTCTCCATTTTACAGGTAGAGAAACTGAGGCAAGGGAAGTGACTTGCCCAGGGCCCACAGCTAGTAACTGCAGGGTCCAGGGTTTGAACACAGCTCTCCCTGGGGTGGTCAGTGGGCCAGGACCCAGCCTAGAGTCAGAGCCTCCCTCCCCCCACCCCAGGTCCGGCCCCTTCCAGCTGGTGACAGTGGTGGGTACTGAGCCCAGCCTGGGTTCTCAACCTTCGATTCCTGGCACCTGGGCCCATCCCCACCCACAGATGCCAGGTTCTAAGACTTGTTCTCCCAGGTCAGCCAAGTTCATTAGGCCCTGAGCACACCTGTCGTTCTTTCCGCCAAAGTGTGCCCCCCCCCACCATTGCATTAGTTCTAGGTTGTCCAGGTTTACGATGCTACCAGTGATCTCTCTTCCTGTGCTTGAGCGCCTGCCTGTATCATTTCCTTGCAATGAAGCAATTTTCCAGCTCAGAGTGGAATGGGGAACCTCTTAAACCATTTGGCCAAACGTTGGGGGTGGGCTGGGGTCGGACAGCTGGACCCCAAGGCAGGAAGTGTCCACCACAGCCTGGTCTGCTGGCACAGAGTGGTTTAGAAGGTTCTTGAAAGCCGTGTTTGAGGAGTGCCAGGCAGGCCCCGTCAGGGGGCGTGTGGATGGATGCTTGTGCTGAGCGCCAGCCTGCCGCCCGAGCCCACCCCCAGCAGCTCCTCGCCCAGAGAGTCTTGTGTCACCGCGGCCCACAGCCACACCTGACAAAGAGGACAGGGCTGAACGGAGCTGGGTTTCCCCTCTGACCTCGCTTCCTCGGCAGTTCCCTCCTCAGCTGCGGGCTGCTCCCATCACAGCCGACCCTCCCCACTCCAGGCCCATCCCTCAAGGCGGCGTGACCCGCGGGGTCAGAGGCCCGGAGGTGCTTGGTCTTGCCCTGACAGAGGGAGGGCTTAGGCCATGGGGGCCAGTGCGTCCTTGAAGGCTAGGGAGGATGTGTGTGCAGCGGTGCCCGCGGAGGGGTGAGCTTCCTGTCCCTGGAGGTATGCGAGCAGACGCGTTGGGTAAGATCAGCCTCCATGCCTCCTGTGGCCCCTCGAGCCCGGAGACCTCTGGAACCCAGACACCAAAGGGCACCCTTGAGGCGCTCCATGGTGGGGTGGGGGCCCAGCAGCTCCGGTGCCCAGGGCGGGCACGGCTATGGCAGCCACTTCACAGGTGAGAACGCAAGGCTCAGGGCCAGGCACACAGATAGAGTACACCCGTCTGCCATCTTGAAGGGAGGAAAGGCGAGTTCTGTGCCCTTGGAGGGCTGGGGGCTGTGCAGGGGAGGCTGGGCCCAAATGCGGGTCCTGCCCCGTCCCTGTGGCTCTGTGGTGAGGCCCGGCAACCGGCCCCGGATGGCCCCACAGCTGCTCCTTGTGGCCACACGAGGTCCACGAGGGATTAGGAGAGAAATGTCAGTACCCAGAGACACCAGGTTCGGCAGGGGGGGTGGGGGAGGGCCCAGTGCTTCCGACCCAGGAAGCCGAGGCAGGGCCGGTCCCGCCGGCCCCCCACAAGGGGCAGAAGTGGGGTGAGGCTGGTGGCACAGGAGGCCCAAAGGCCTGGGCAGTCCCCCCCCATTCGGCGTGGATGGCGGCACCGCTCCTGGCTCACGGATCCCCTCCCAGACCCCAGCCTGCCCCTCCCCGGCCTGGACAGACAGAGACCAAGGTGGGGCTGGGGTCAGGCGCCTTTATTGGTCAGGACGTGGTGGGTGGCAGGGGGCTCTGGGGCCACAAGGCGCCTTCCAGGCCCCCAAGCCACGTTTCCAAGGCACTGGACGGCCCAGGCTGGGCACCACTCTCCCCCTCCCCTCGAGGGGCGTGTGCTCGGGGCAAGCCCGAGGTGGGGACCCTCACGGAGTGGCCGTGGGCCGTCAGCTCCTCTTGTGGGCCTGGGAGGCTTTCTGCCGGTAGATCTCAGCGGTGAAGGGCCTGCGGGGGTGGGAGAGAGGCTCGCTCAGCGGGCGTCGAGGTTGACGCTGCCACCCAGGCCCCCCACCCGGCGTGGACGGGGTGAGGGGTCCGTGTGGGAACAGGAGGGTCCAGCACCACCTGCCCGGCACCCGGGCCACCCTGTGCCCGCTCTCAGCTGCTCGTCTGCCACCCTGACGGTGACTCGGCGTGGCCAGCTGCCCAGGCCCCAGGAAAGGCCTTGGAAGGAGAGGCAGGGCTGGTGCTGGTCACGCGGACAGTACACGGCAGCCCCGGCCCCGGCCCGAGACGGCGCCTACTCACTCCTCGTACAGGATGGCGACTGTGTAGGTGAGCGCCACCACCGTGGTCAGCAGCAGGCCGGCGGGGCTGGCGTGCCTGCGGGGAAACGCAGGTCAGGGGCAGGCCCGGGTCCAGCCTTCTCTCAGACCGGGGTTCCACGGTCCAGGCCCTGACCCGGGGACTAGCTCGCCGCTGCCCGTCCAGGCCTGGCTCCCTGTCCACAGGCCTCCAGCCCCAGTCAGGAGCTCAGAACAGTGAGGAGGACGGAATGGCTGGCCTCCCCAAATCACTTGAGTGGTCAGCGTGCCTTCTGCACAGGAGGCTGTCCCAGGGTAAAAAACGCTCTCCCTGCCCACCAGAGGCGATGTTCTCAGGCTGTTTTCTAGAAGTGGGTCCAGGACCGCCAAAGCCAGGCGAAGCGTCCCTTGGGCCCCTTCACGGGCTCTCTCCTGGTGACTGCTGTGGGGGCTGAGCCCCTGCATAGACAGCTGGGGAGCAGAGAGGTGGGGGAGCTGGCTGGTGGAGCCCAGGAGCCAGAGGGGAACGTGAGCCCCAGGCCAGGGGCCCCGAGGCACAGGGGCTTGAAGACACACGAATACCCTTTGGGGACCCTCTGCCCTGCCCACTCCCCTCCCGCTGGGACCTCACACTGTCCATCTGGGGGCTCCAGCAACAGTGAAGGGTAAGTGTCCCCTATGAAACCGCCAACTCCCGTTCCATGGGCTCCATTTAAATCAAGCTTGAGAGGTGGACTGGGCCACTTGGCCCTTGGCACTGCCACGTGGAGATGCCTAGGCCACAGATGCTTTGGGGCTGAAATGAGATCTGCCCTCCTGAGGCTCTCCTCACTGGCCCCGGTGCTGTTTCCTGGAGTGGGCAGGGCTTCCCCCCGCACAGCCAGGCAGCCCCGGTGCCGGGGAGGGGCAGGCTGGACCCCCCGCCAGGGGACCTCAGGGCCAGGGCTCTGTGGCCACCGTATCCCTAAGGCTGACGGCCCCTGCCTGGGAAGCCGAGTTAACTAGGCTCTACGGAGGCGAGGGTCGGGGCAGCCGGCGCCTGGTCAACCCCGACACGGGCCCTTCTCCGTTCCGTCCACGTGAAGTTTCCCACCTTCCAGGACCTGTCACACCTAACAACCTATGTGGAGATGGTCATCCCACACTGCA